TTAATGAGTTGTATTTACGCACAATCTATTTGTAATCTTGAGTTTGAAGTAATATGTATTAATAAACAGACTTTACAAGATGTTAATAAGTTGTATCAGTAATCGGTGTCATATCTAAAAATGTTATAATAGTTTTATAAGACGTTTTAATTGTTTTAACAAGTTTTTTATGACGTTTTTAAAATAAAGTGTCGTATTAATTTTTTTATATGATACTTTTAAGAAGTGTCTTATAAACCAATATTTTTATAGGAAAATTATGCTTATAAGACACTTTTTCAAATAGTGTCGTATAAAAAGTTAATATAACACTTTATTTAAAAATTGTTTTTAAAAACTTGTTAAAACACCCAAAAACGTCGTGCAAAATATATTGTAACATTTTTTGGTTTAATTCACAAAACTTAAGTCCTATAAAGTATTTTATTAGGTCGCTTTAAACATTTTGTACGTAAAATTTTGGAGTTTGGTAAGCAAGAAAAACGAAGAATAACTTCAAAATCTGCCTTTTGAAAATTGTAGCTTTTAATCATTTTTCAACCATTCACCTGCTTCATGCATATTAAACAAACAGTTTTCTAACCTCCCATGCTGTTGACATCGTCTTCTACTCGTCTTACTCGCGAATCCCTCTATAAAATGCCTCTCCTTCACTCTTCACTTTTATCTCACTCCATCTTCTATAACCATCTTTCACAAATCCTCTTAAAGCTCCTGTTTCTAGCGAGAGAAAGAGATCTAGAGACCATCAGAAGCACATACACTCGTCGTCGTTAGCATCATCAAATACACAGAAATGGCAAAGGTATACAGATCTGTTTAATTACTCATTCTGTTTGATTCTGTATACCTGAATCACTTGATCTCATTAATTCAATTGTGTTTTGCAGCAAAAGATCGTGGTGAAGGTGGCCATGCACACCGAGAAGAAAGCTCGTAAGGCTCTTCAGACCGTAGTTAGTTTTTGCGGTAAGATCATATTTTCGGAATTTTTCTCTGCTAAATTGCTTTCTCTACTTCATTTCACTTTTTCTGAGTTTTAATACGAACCAAGCCACAACAATTTCGAACACCTCTGATCAGTTTATCAAATGGATCTCGTTTCAATCAATGCTATGATTTGGCTTACTGTTAGATCAGGTTCCAAAACTCCAATTTCGGATGAAATTGTTAACGAATTTGAGTTTCATATCTTAAACGTCGATTTAGATTGGGAGATCTAGAACATTCATGTATTTTCTTCAATAATCGGATGGATCCGGATTCCTTATTCAAAATAAGCATCAAATTATGAATTATTAAACTGAATCATGATCTGTAAATTAATTGATACATAGGTGTGGAATCAGCAGCCTTCGAGGGTGCAGATAAAGACCAGATAGCGGTGATCGGAGAAGGAATTGACTCGGTGAAACTGACAGCTAAATTAAGGAAATGCGTAGGACATACAGATCTGGTGAGTGTTGGTGCGGAGGAGGAGAAGAAGAAGGAGGAGGAGAAGAAGAAGAAGGATGAATGCGAAGCATTCATGGAATATTGTCCGTATCCGTATCCATATCCGTACTACTATGGTTGCTATGGTGCGCCCTACTATGGATGCAGGATGTGAGAACAGCCGAGACTACTTCACAAATCATATACATATAATATATTTTTATTAAAAGTCAATATCATTAAATAGCAACTAAATTTTTATTTTTATTTGTATATACGCATTTTTAGTTGTAAAAGTTTGAATTTATGCCCGGATTATGATGTATATTGTGAAAACACGTATTAATTAATACGATTTACATGTTACATGGAATTGCTTTTATGAACCATGCATACATACAAGTCTTGATGTTCACTAAGCCGCAAGGCTCGTGTGTGCTTAAGGGTGTGTTTGGTACGCTAGACAGGGTGGGACAGGACAGAACAGATTTGTCCTACGTTTGGTGTGGCTTAATATGGAACTAAGTAGAACTAGGTAGTACAAGAGTGGGACAAGCTTGTTCTCCTTTACTCCCTGGAACTAAGTGGAACACAACTCTTTTTACCAGACTACCCTTTCCCCACCCGGCTCATCGCATACCCCCTTCTTGATTAACTCGATTAACAACATGGAGATCATCAAGAAATGGTAACAAACAAGTGTTGATTGACCAATTCCTTAACGGATCTAGCAGATAACGGATGAAAATTTGAACCCTAATCTGAAACGAATTCTTCAGCCAAAATCCATTTTTCATCTTGTTCCATTTTCTCCCATTTTCTCCTCAATTCCTCTTTTCCCAATCCAAGGTACAACCCCAGCTCCGCATACAGCAGCTTCCTGCTCGCTTTCATGGCTTCTTGAGTTTGTACCGTCTGGGCGTTCATCTTTTCGATCTCCGTTGCCAAATCCATCACTAACTCTATATCTACGATGCTGCTTGAATTGGAACTGGAACTGGAACTGGAACATGAGATTTGAAGTTTTGGAGGGGTGTTGGGGCAGTGGAGAAACGGGTGAGTTTGGAATTTCGTGAATCGTAGAAGGTGGTGTGGAGGAAGGAGATTCAGATGAAGATGAACCCTAATTAGGGCCATTTTAGGGGAGAAGAAGGTTAATTGGGGATTTTGTTTGGAAACTGTGAATAATATAGCTTCAAGTTTCGCCGTTTTCCTATTAGCTTTCTGTGTTTTACCTTGTGTATTCGTAATTAACCCGTATTGTAGTGAAAAAACACTAAACAACTCACTGGGGGTAAATTGGTCATTTTAACCAGTTCTGTCATGTCCTGTCTTGTCTTACCAAACGCTGAACAGCTGTCCTGTCCTGTCCTGTCCCGTCCTGTCCCGTCCTGTCCTGTCCAGTCCTGTCTGCGCACCAAACGCACCCTAAAGGCACATATTTGATATCGCTAGAAGGGTACTCGTGCAATGCATTGAGATACATCTTGATTTTAAATCATTTTATTCTTTATCTATGTCGATATAATAACATTTAAATTATGTGGTTTTGAAAAGACGATAATCTTTTTATTTTTGAATAAAATATAAATTTAAAAATATCATGAAATTTTAAATATATATATATATATATATCAATATTAATATCAAATTAACTATTTAAATTTTTTTTTTGTTTTGTGTAATTTCTTTAATTCAAATTTTTTATTATAATTTAATTTAACATAATGAAGTAATTTAATCTAGGTTTAATAATATATTTTTTATAAAGATCATCATTAAATATCATGTTATAACACAATGATTATTCTAATTATATTTAAGATTTTTTATAATTAAAATTAAATGTTTATCCTGTATTTAATTATGTTTATCTGCAGTTAGTTACACGAATTCAAGCATTGAGCTATAATAAATTGTACTTACACATAACTTACTTGTAATATTAAATTTTAAGTAATATACATTAATAAACAGTATTTCATGCATAAAAATTAATTTTTAAGATTTTTTGTCAAATACTTTATAATATAGTATAGATATAAGCATATATTAGTAATATTGATTCAGTTAATGCTCTGGAATAACCTCGTTCAATCAACGATCGTCAGTTTCAACTTTCAAACTCGAATTTGGATCGGCCAATGTGCTTCTAGGAACGTGATTAAGGGGGTGTTTGGGATTGCTTATTTAAAACAACTTATGCTTTTTTGTAAAAGTGCTTATTAACTTATGAGGTATCAAACTGGAGTTTTGTAAAAAGTGTTTGGATTAGCTTATAGCGGTACAAAAAAGCAAAATGACCAAAACACCCCGGTTCATTTGAGGTTATGTACCAGTTGAGGGTTAGAAAAGAAATCAAGCCGTCTCCT